CCAATCCCCAACATTCTGTGATTCTGTGTGTCATTGGCCATATTTTGGTCGTTAAGGGAGGCTTCTGAGCAGGTTGGGCATCTTGCTTATAGGCTTGTTTGATTCTGGGACCCCATGCACTTGGTGGTAACTGATACTAGGACTGAAGCTCAGTGGGAGGCACGTGTGCACGTCTTAAAATGAGGTGACATCAGAGTTGTATTACTCTAGTGGTGAGGTCAATTTACCTGTTTCTTCAGCTGTTTGTATTCATAGCTGCACGTCAAAACTCTAGAATGCAAATGTCAGGTTGCATGTGGTTTTTGTGGTGTCTCAAAACAAGGGGAAAACAAATGCAAAATTATTACTGTCATTAGCAAATGTTAAAAAATGTACACACTGTTCTGAGGTTGATTGACTATTTGTATGCTTAGTGATATGTGCAATCAAATAATTAGCATTTTTGCTGTACTCCTGGGAGAAGGTGTAGCTTAATTTTCCTCCACAGTTTGCTAAATGGCTGAAATTATTTGCCGTGTCCACACTTTGAAAATATAAATGTGAAGGGAAGCTGGTTTTTAACAGGCTTCTATCCTATAAATAACTCATCCTATTTAGGTTAACAAGTTTTTTCTGGAACATTACTTTATATAGTTGGAGTCTGGTCCATTTCTAAACAAGGTATGATAATCATCACTTCATTACGTGTCTTCAAGTGGTATCTGGTTCTTACATAACTGTCTTCTGTAAAACTTTCTGGATGACACTGAAGAGGTTTTTCTGCTTATACTACTTTACAGGCTTCTGGTATATTTTGTGGTTTCAGATAAAGAATGCTAACAGGTTGTTGTCTGGACTTAATGATTTTCTTAGTAATTAAATATAGCATACCCATAAATGCCTAAGATTATTCTGAGGCAAAGTGTTTGCCTGATGACTTATAATTAAACTTAGAAACCTGCATGTGTTAAAAGTGAGTTGCTGTTTTTGTCTCTTAAATGCCAGAGTGCAATCTAATTTATGCCTTTCTTCTTTTAATATTTGATGGTAAGTTTTGTCATCCAGAGGTGGCAGCCTGCCTCAAATGCTGCCACTTCTTGGATATTATAATAGCGATTGAGAGATGCTCTATTCATAGAAATGGAAATGTCTTCTTTTCTTTATGTTAAGGAAATTGATAGCACAAATAGTGTAAAATTGGCCCTGTTGTTTCCCAAGGCCATTGAGTGATCTCTTAATCACCAAACCACATACTAAATACATAATAATAACAGGTCTAAGTGAGTTAGTTTTCATACAAAGTAAGGAAAAGATAAGGTTAAAAGGTTTCAGTGTGCTCACTTTTTTTTCTTCTGATTAGGTAAAGATTCAGAGCAGGCTCTTCATAAATGTACTAAGAGCTCAGTAGAAATCTATAATTAATAAGATTATTTCTTATAGCCTGTTTGTCACTTGTGACAACACTTCTAAATGCCAGCAAAGGTTTCTCAGATAAGCTATAGCAGGTTTCATGTTCTAGAAACTTTCCATCTGTAAGTAAAACTCGAGATATCTTGAGTTTGGATTCTTGAAGCTGTTGAACTGGCTGTTTCAGACACTAATATACGTGTGTCTGTGATATTGTAATCTTTCTATTCTCTTCCTGATTCCTTTCATCTTATAACCACAAAAATGCTTAATTTCACTGTAGCTCTTATTTCTTGTATACAACGTGTCTGAGAAACTACTTCTTTCCTTAAAAGCATAGCGTCTTAAATCTTGAAGACTGTGAACTTTCTTTTGCTCTCATGGCAGACCAGTTCTTTTTTCCTCCCTTGTATGGTAGTATTGTTGTCACAAGCTCAGACTTCAGTCAGTTAAAGTATGACTGTGTAAATTGTAGGGTCTCCAGAACTACAGGTGGAAACTTTATAGTTCTGAGTTAACTTTTCATTTTTTTCCCCATGTCTTTTTACAGAGTAATTGCAAAGAACTCAATTTCTTTGAAGTGATGCAGTTGTTGGATGCCTATTTTAGATGATCAGTTAAATGTGTGTGTTTTGGGACATGATGTGGCAAGGCTGCGAAACCATAGCCTATCTACTTTAGTAGATGACATACTCTCCAAGTATGTTATTTCCATAATGTCAGAAGTAGTTGGAATATAACTGGAAGCACACAGCTTAGAGGACATGTCTAACATGTTGCCCTGCTAGTTGCACGTAAAGCTTTCCTACTTATTTTTCTCAGAAGAGGAAGAGTGAACATGTTTTTTGTTTCCCCCCCTCACTGCCTTTTTGCATGGCAATGCTCAGAATATTAGTGGACAGCAGATATGTACTCACCAGTGGTCAGACAAAGACTTTCTTTTATTGATGGTAATAGAAGGTAACATTAATTTTTTTTAAAGGTGAACTGAGTCAGGGTGACTTTGCTCTCTTGTATTATTTGTATTGTATTATATGCACCTAAACACCTGACCTTGAAGTAGCACTTATGTGTTCTTGTGGCCAAAGAGCTTGATTCTTGAGTGTAGGACTATAGGATGTGTGTGTAGGGTGGTGCTCAGGGAGCTTTTGAACTCCAAGAAGCAGGAATCTCTTCTGTGGAAAATAAGAAAATGTGAGAACCTTGATGAGGTGGAGGCACTATTGGCACTAGTTTATTAGAAGACTCTCAAGCTGAAGGTAAATCTATCTTTGTTCTGGGATTGTTTTGACAACAAGTGCAGACATAATGAAAGGGTAGTGACCAACTAACATGCTGCAGGAGTGTCCTAAAACTGAGTGGTTTTTAGTAAACATGCTGCAAGGTCATACAGTCAGAAGTGGTTCTTTGCCTCCTTTCTTCTTTCTTCCCCCACTCTAAACATAAATAGCTGCTGATACTATGGTAGAGATAAGTTTAATGGTGAATGTCAAGTTTTGGAGTAATACAGGTGCTCAAGGAGAGAATAGCAGCCACATGCTTAAGGTCTTTAGAAAGGTTAAAAAAAATTTATAAATTTATAGTAAATTTATACCTGATTTTGATAAAACTTGATAGTGACCTCTTCCTATCTCAGTTAAAGTCCAGATGAGTTATTGCCTTACACAGCATTTAGTTAGGATGACCCCTAAAATAAGTGACCAACATCTCTTAGGAAAAAATATGACCTTGTTATTACTGCAGAATGAAAAATAGGGCCTTTACAGGAGAATAATTTCTGGAGAACATGCTGAAGCTCTTTATTTGAACAGGAGCGGGGGGCATTCATTTCTAAGATTAATCTTGACGGACTTGAGCTCCTTAATCCTCTTTGCTGTGAGTTTACCAGCTACTTTAAATCTCAAATGAACTATAGACAGTGATCTTCTTAAATATGAAGTGAAATATAGAACAGTTCAGGAAATCAAGAGGTGATGGTGGTGCTGCTATTTGTGTTTATTGGAGGAAACTTTGGCCTTTATTCCTATAGATCTAACTATAGCAACTGGCAAAAAATCCACTGCACTGTACTATTCCCAAAATGGTACTCCGATTAGAAATTGGTGTTCTAGGTTATGTCCTTGCGTACAGCTAGTTGCCTGCATCAGGACTTGATCTGCTCTGTCACCTCCTGTTTTGTGGCCTTGCTGCCTCTTCATTTAGTCTGTGCTAGAAGACTTACCCCTGGAAGGGGCTCTCATGTCCTTATGAGTGGAGCAGGTTGCCATCACACAACTGTAGTGCCTTGTAATTGGCATTTGGCCTGTCACAGGGAACAGTTTGGCCCATGCTATCCTAAATACTAGAAGCTGACTCTTACATAAACAAGCATAAAGTTACAGTGATGATCACATTTAGATACCACCTATTCTTTATTGCTCCTTTGATGTTAATTTGTTCTTCAAGGTAAAATTACGCATCCGGTATGAAGACAGTTGATGGCTGAAAAGAAATCTGTTTACTTAACCTTTTACCATTCTCTGTTGCAGCTCTCAAGTTCCACTTACAAATATAGGAGTGAGGAATTCAAGAGACAGTTTTCTCATCTGCCAGATTCAGAGAGACTCATAGTAGGTAAGACATAATCACATCAAAAGTGCTTGTCTTCTAGCTGATAACTCCAGGTTGCAGTAATGCCAAGGTGTTTTTTAATGGCAAATTCTCTCTACAGCTGATAACTTCCTGTTCTCCTGTTTCTGAACTAGCATCAGATACCTTCAGGGAAAGTCAGGTCCATGCTCCTCTCCCGTACTGCCTGCTTTGGTTAAAAGAAAAAAAAGACAAATTCCTTTTGGGGTTTGAGAAGTGAAGGAGAGGGTACAGAATCTTCCAGTTCTACATATGGGATCAGAGCCTCTTAATGTCTTTTCCTGCTGCTACTTTTTAGTGTGGTTTTAGACAAAAGCCTTCCTGACAGCAGTGGAGATGTGACTGACAGCTGTTAGCTGACAGGCTGGAAAGAAATCACTATGCAGGGTCAGGGTGAGCACCGAGCATATAAACTCAACATAATGTGCATTGACAAGCTTGTGTGATGCAAGTGTGAGAAGAACAGAGGTAAAGTTAAATCCTGAGAGCACCGGATTTATGTTCTTTCCAGCATGGACAACCAACTTGGTGTACCTCTTGCAGTGTCATAACCATTTATTTTCTGTCCTGTGAGTGTCTGAGTCCTCTCTCTTACTTTAAAGAGGCAATTAGTTCTGTAGATGTTGGGGAGGAGGGAATGATTCCCTAGTAGTAAGTTTGGTACGTGGATACAAAGGTAAGGGATGTTGCCTCAGTGACCTGGTTAAGTAGAAGCTTTAGCAGAAGCTTTTCCTTTATTCCTTGGAACTAAACCTAGACCCTTGCTCTAGGCACCCTGATTAATGTGACTTTTGGTACTGAGTTTGACACAGTGGGTCCTTGTAATTTAAGACTCTCTTCAGAAACAAATGCCAGCAATGTGGTATGAAGATATAAAATTCAGCATTTAAGTTTGTAATTCCCATCAATCATCATAGGAGATCATTGGAAAACACAAACCAATCTTCATTTTATCCTGACTTATAATACTGTGCACTTGGATAGATTTGTCAACATGGTATATTGAGGGCAGATAAAGACACTTTTTGCACCACACTGGTCTGTGCAGTTGTAGTTACTGCCCAGGCTTGTGCTGAGCATGAAATATGTCATCTGGTGCTGTACTGTGCAAATCTTCTAGTTCTGGGCTGGCTCGTGCCTTGAGCAGAGGTTTTTCACAGCCCAGTATACCAGGCTAGCTTATCCTTGTGCTGATGACATTGGATGGAGGCAGAGGAGTAACACTCTGCTGGAAGAGCAGAGGTGGTGAGAAGTGCATGGGGTGGGAGGGGACAGAAGCAGGTGGCAGAGAATATCAAACTATGGTGCGTAACTTCTCAGCACCAGAACGCTCCTTTTGAGCTCTGACTGCCTGTTTTGCTCCACTGCAAAATTCAAAGAAGGCAAGTGTATAACCCTTTGCATGTAGTGATGCACCTTATTCCCTCTCTTATCACTTGCCTTGCAGGTAAGCCTGCCTGTGCTGCCCAAGCACTGTGTAACAAATGCACTAGCCAAGTGTTGTTGGGTGTTGTTTTTATACAAAAGAGGCATTGTGACTGTTTGTATTTCATTTCTCATCTTGCACAACTTTTAAGGAAGTGAGTATTGAGAGGCTGTCAGTATATGCTTGCAGCATGCTGAGTTCCACCCAGGTTAATGGAAGAGAATTAAAACTTCTCTTGCCCAGAAACATTTAAATCCTTGTGTCCTTTTCCAGCCTCACAAAGAGGCAGTTATCCTCTGAACTGCCTTCTGCATTTTGAAAATACCTGAGTTCAGTACAGAAGTAAAACAGAAGAAATGGATATTACTTCAAAGTGGTGTTTTGATGTTTCTCCTTACACAGGATTGATATAGAAAGCTATGGAGCAAACTCTGAAGCACAGTTTCAATGAACAGACTACCTAGGACTTGGAAAAAGATTTAGTAATGGATTAACAATAGAGCACCTGCTCCATCAGAAGCAAAGTCATTACTTTATATAATTTTTTTTTACCCCATAAAAAGCAGTGCTCCTTTGGAAGGACTTTTTGCATCTTCCAAGCAAAAAGATCTTCCTTTGCTTGATGCAGAGAAACTTATCACAGGCTTTACAGTGCTCAAAGAAGCAATTACTTGCTGCAGTTCATTAAAACAACTGTAACTGCTCCTGTTTGTAACTTAACTGTTAAAGGAAGTGACTGTTCCACTGTAATGAGCACTGTATATAAAGATTATATGAAATATAATTATTCTCTTATAGTGAAAGAGAAATTACTTAGACTTTTGAAATGGGAGTTTAAAGAAGTGCCATTAACTTTAATTTCTCTGAAAATGTTGTTTACAAGCATCATCTTAAGTTACTAGATCTGAAAACTTAGAAGGAGAAGTGTTAGTTTCCCTTTTGTTTTGATATTCTCTTTTGTGTAGGTAGGTCGTGGTGATGTTGCTCATCACTTCCTGCAATATTTATAGGTCTGAATCCCTCCCCTTCCCCCAAACATAGAAGTCAGATGCCAACTTCTTGGTAATGCTTACCTCAAGTTCTTAACCTCAAACTCCTGATGCGTTCCCAGTCCCTGCTCTCCCAGCATTTTGGTATCTGACTTCTCTTTAAACATACACTTAACAACTTATTGGCTTTGATTTGTTTAAGTTTATGTAATTCTGTTTGCAGCTGTTTCTCCAAGGGCTGTATACATGTATACATGCCTCATGCTTGTTGTAGGAAACATTATCGCCACTTGATTATTTGAGGGGAAAATCCCAAGAGAATTTTAAGTCATAATAAAAACTTCTGTAGACGCAGACTTACCTTGAAGTTAGGATGGTGAAGGACTTGTGAACCTCTTGGTACTTGAACAAGAACTGTATTCATCTTCTTGTACACAAAATCAAAGTTCTGGCTCAGACAATACCAGATACAATGCTTTTCAAAATAACAAAACTCTTTGATACCTCTAAAGTTAAAATCATTAACATCCTGCACGAATAGGTACATCCTGGGTATTTTCTATACATAAAGTGAACACCTTTAGGTTGAAGCTTCCAAAAGGGATCTGTCTTAACTTACTAGCAGTAGTACTTCTGAAAATTCCTTCTGTTTGAATCTTCAGGCTCTGAAATTATGAAAGTTCTCAGAGAGGTTTTTAAGAAGTGCAACCAAATCCTCTGCTCTTGTTCTTAATTAGCAGGTATCTGATGATGGGTAATTGCATTCTAGATGAAATCTGTTTCTCAATAGGGATGTTTCTGCCAGAGGCAGTATCGTGATAAAAATGGCAGTCAGCTTCTGGAAATATCCCCTGCCTGAAGAGCTGGATAGCTTCAAGCTGCCATTTAGTGTCTCACTCTGCAGATAGTTTTAGCTAGTGATAGGATCTGTTTAGTAGAAGATTATCTCACTACAACATATGAACTACTGTTATGTAGGAGTTGACAGTATAATGTTATACTATAAAATGTTTGTGTATTCTGTTGTTGAGGTGCTTTGAGGTTTGACTTCTGAACACTTCTCCCATGTACTCCTGATCTTGCCTGATACCTCTTCTCTGAAGATGTAGGATAACACACAGAAGGTTGCTACACGAAGTGCTGTCCTCACACAGATACTTCCATCAACTCTGGCTTTGGGGTGTTCCCAGAACAATGGTCTAGATGCAACCCAGTACAGGTCTGCCTTCACAGACTTGAAGAGTGAAAGAAATGGCTTTTTATTTGTGCTGTAATACCATTATCTCATTTTAAGTGAACAGATTTTGTGTCAACTGAGCTGCAATAAGTGAGTAAACTTGCTCTTGCCCTCTGTACGTAGATTATGCCTGTGCACTCCAGAAGGATATCCTGCTGCAAGGACGCTTGTATCTTTCCGAAAACTGGCTCTGTTTCCACAGCAACATTTTCCGATGGGAGACCACAGTAAGATCTCTTGGCTCACTTGAATTCCACCTCTTCTTCATCCTGTGCTATCAGGATATAACTGTCCCTCAGACAAATCTTATCCTCCCAATCTCATGTTAGTAGCTTTGCGCTGAAAAGGAAAAGCCTGCATCCCTGAGTGGAAATGCAGATCCATTGCTCTGTGAAATGAGAATAGTGTTGGAGACACTTGAATGCTGAAGTAAACCTGCTCAGTCAGTCATTCAGCATAGGAAGGAGTTCAGGACTTAAACTAAAGCTGATCTTTTACATTCTTGGGTGGTGATTTGCCTTTCCTTACCAAGGAGAGTTGCTCTATAAAGGGATGTAACACATAATGTTCCCCTCTGAGACCAGGAGCATGATATAGTACATGATGTTGCCCTGTTCAAGAACTCTCTGGCATTGAAACTGGTTTAGTCTCACATGTAAATATCAGTATCTAAGAATAGCTGAAGAGAATCTATAAATGACCTCTGTAAGTGCTCATATTGTGTTCTGTAGCTTTTGAACAGTATAAGCAAAAGTAGATATTGGTGATGTGTTGGCCCTTTATTTCTGTCTGACCACGTTAATGAGTTAAATTTTTTCATTCAAGCAGTTGCATCTGCTATAGAAATAGCATGAGGCAGTGAATGAGAAAGTGAATGTAATCTAGTTAATAGGTGATGGAGATGAGTCAAAATATTCTGCATCTGTGAGACTGCACACACCTTAAATTAATCTCTTAAATTTTACTCTCTGTGCTCTGAAGTACCCAGGACAGACAACAAATAGCTTGTGTACTTAAGACAATGAGGGAGTGTGGAAGTGCTTAACTGAAAACCAAGCTTAACTTCATCAGATGGATTTGATGATTGAGTGCTTCTTATTGTAGACTTGAGATTTCTTTTTTTAAAGTCCCTTTGAAATGGCACTCTTGAATATATAAACTACTCAAAGACTGATTTTTTTCAGGCAAAAAGGCACACATACTGATAACCTGTTCCTGCCTGCCTAGCAGAGTGTTATCTTAAGCGATATCTTAAGGCAATCTGAGCTCATCAGCTACAATGGTAGAGCCAACTTTTGTGACCTCCTTAGCAGGCTGTATTGAGCAGAGAGAAAGTGGAAGACCTTCTACACATACAGGAAAAAGCAAGATCCAACTGTATGTTCTCCTATCTCTAAGCTGAATGGCTTATCTTCAAGGGAAGGGGATAGGCTGAATGGAGATGGCTTGTTGCAGCCAGTCAGGCCATACTCTTCTAAACTGAAACATTTCAAGTACTAATGCACAACTAAACATTTCAAGTACTAATACTCAAACACACCCAAGCAGGAAGACTTCCTTGCAATATCTCAACTGAAAATAACTTCTGTGAAAATGGACTAGATAGCAAACTTCTGGGAGATGATACAGACAAAATAGTCTTTTATCTGATCTATGTTGTGCCTTATGCATAGTATATTGATTGAGATTGGCTTTCAGATTTGTGGTTGGGATTATGCCCTTAATCCTTGAGTGTTACTGGAAGAGTGGAATGAAAGAAGAAAGAACCACTTGCTTCCCTAGTCCTAGTGTGAAAGAAGAGGAGATACTCTTAAGTTATCTTAACTTGCTTCTACTTTGTAATGTTTACTGTTAAAGTTACCAAGTGGAGACAGTAATTGCCTTTGTGATCTCAGCTGAATTGCATCCCAGGGTTTGGAGTTAGTTTCTCTTGCATGTTCTGTGACTATGTAAATTTTTAGTCTTCATAGTTATTTTTAATATGTCTTCTTAATTCTTTCTGCTTAGATTTCTATTGCCTTGAAGGATATCACTTTCATGACAAAGGAGAAGACTGCTCGGCTCATTCCAAATGCCATACAAATAGCAACAAAAGGAGAGAAGGTGAAAACCTGTATTTAAATATATATAACTTTTAAATTATAATGTCCAGGGCAGAGCAGTTGTTTTAGTTTTAAATTTGCATAAGTAACTTCCCTGTCAAATCTTTAAATGTGATTGGGATTGGAAGACAAACTTGGTGTTTTGGTTCCTGTGCATATTGGCTTGATAATTCAACTATTTTTATTGCAGAATGCTCTAGTAGTGTTGATGGAATAATGAGAAAGTAAGGGAGTATTTGTCCCACTGATCTCAATGAAAGCCATTTGAAAAGTTAAAGTTTGGGGCGTGAATTCAGACTGTGCATCCCTGAGACTGCAAAAATATCAAACTCGCTAGATTTAAAGTGTCCCTGGAAGAAAATTGCCGAAAACAAAAGGACTGTGATATCGTGGGTTTCGGGTCATAGCAAAATCTACCCATAGAACATGGAATTTTATGTGCTGGGAAGTGTAGGTTTTGGGTGTATACCTGGAAAAACTGAAAAGCATGATACAGAATGTTTTTATGTGCAGCATACTTCATGATATTTCTGTAAATGCCTTGAAAATAATAATTCTTGGCTGGATACAGAGAATAGCTTTCCAGGGTGAATCTTCTTTGTGAAGAAACTGCGATTCCTTATGTTTTGCTGTTCTCTCTCAATTTACTAAGTGTTAACTTCCATCATCAAGGACGATAAACATCTTTCTCTGCTCAACAAACTTTCAAATAGGAAATATTTTAATACTGCAAAAGCAGTAAATACTGCATCTAATTTGATCTCTTATTTTATCACATGTTCTCATGTGAACAGAAGGAATATGTGGTGGAAGGATGGAAAGGGCTGTGGCCTGTTAGAAATAGGCATATGCATATCTAATTTGTTCCACCTCCTATTTGGAAGTGGGAGAAAGATTTAACTGTGTAGTTAATTGAGGGAGAGCTCTTCCTTTATGCCAAAAGTACAAATGACTGCAATCAGATGCCCAGAAGAGCAAGTGTCTTTATATACTATGTGGATATTGGGGAAACTAACTCTTACTTGTTTTTCCTGCAGTTTTTCTTCACGTCATTCAGTGCAAGAGACAGAAGCTACCTCAGTATCTTCCGCTTATGGCAGAATGTGTTGCTGGATAAGGTAAGCTTGCAAGTGCCAGTACCTGTGCTTAAATAACAAAATAATATTTTTCTATTGTAAGCAGTTGTGTCTTTGGAGAATAAGAGACTTTCCTTAAGAAGTTAGCTCTTCCTTTCTGACACAGAATTCTAATCTGATGTTCTCCTTCGACTCCTTGTACTTCGGATCCCAGGTAAACTTCTCATCATTTCCTTCTCATGCTGCCACCTACAACTTTGCTGCTGATGGAGTATTTTGTCTTTTGAAGATAAATTACATGCTTCTCTTCACTTCCAACTGAGGCATGTATTACCAAATTGGCATGCCTTTGCTTCACATTTTCTATGGCTAATTTCTGATCAAAAAGGCAAGAAACTTTTTCAGTGAAAGCTGCCTTTTTTTTTTTTTTTTTTTTTTTCAGAAAGGAAAAAGCTAGAAGTCACCTTCTCAGATAAGTTAGCTGAACCTTTGCCAACCAACTCATTACAACTTCCCTGACCTTGAATAAATGCAACAAAGGCAGGCTGCTGTATGATATGGAAGTGTATTTTGGCAACTTCTGCTAGTTAGCTTGATTTATATTGCAATTTGTGGATGCTTAAGCTAATCTTCTTTCTAAAAATGTAATGACACTTTTGCAGAACATCACTGTAAGTAATGCAATTTTTGTAAACCAGTTCCTTCCTGTTTATGGCTCTCACTGTTTAAATATTTCAACACCGTTGCAATTGAACATTGAAATATCCATATATAACTCAGCACTACAGTGGTCCCCAAAGGCTTAAAGCTGTTGCACTCATTATATATAGTACCCACACAAGCTTTTTTGTTAGATGAATTTTAGGGCAGACTAGAGGCACCTTTTGTCAAACAAAAGCTGAAAATAAAAGAAAGTGCCATTTAAGGCAAAACTAATGTTTCCTGCAAATCTCTTATCCCTCATATCGAATACAATTTAACTGTAACATCATAACCATCTTATCTCAAATCCAACAGTAGCACTGCAAAAACCACAATGTACTATGTCATCTTTTGACTGGAATGTGCAACTGGAACTAACCTTGTTTTCTTTTGTTAGGCAGTTTGTCAGGAATGGTAATTATCTTATTCAGTTGGTTCATTTGTGGTGCTGGAGGATGAATGGGAAGGGAATTCAAGTATACAAACCTGTCCAAGGGGCTGGAACAGAGGCAACAAGCTTTGTGCTGTTCAGTATTAGTTTTTCCTGTGCATTTCTATGACACTGAAATGAGTATCACATTAGGAACAATTTTTCACTTCAGAGCAGTAACTAAAGGATAAATATGAAAGTAGAAGGCATGGACTGTGTGTAAAATGAGATTAATTAAGCTGGCGGATTTTAGGGACCAGTGCACCTGAGTAGCTTGGGAACTCTCCTTATTCTTTCTGTCTAATCTTGCTATTAGCTTCCTTGCATCCCCACTGAAGTATGTTGGAAGATAAGCAGAAATTCACATAACAGACTCGGGGTTCTCAGTTGTAAAATAGAGCATTGCCATGAGGCGTATGTAAGGCTTTTTAATCTAGTATGTTTGGAGCTACTTACTGAAACAGGATTTCTGTTAGGTTGAGCTTCTACTTCTGCAAGGTAGTAGTAACTTCTCATTCTCTGCTGGAATGTGTTTGAGTCACCCGTCACCCTGCTTCATGATTCTTTGCTGCTTAACCAAACTAGATCAAGCTATAGAGGGGGACTGAGGAGTTGATAGTAGAAACTGAAGTTGCTAGAGCTGGATGCACTGACTCCTCTACAGTGACAGCTGTCGACTGACCTGTTGCTAAAAGAAAGCCCTTGGTGCATCCAAGCAGTTTTGCTGCCTTCTCCCCACTACCCCATGGCAGGGACAGCATACATTTGAAAGAGATCTCGTATGTCTGAGGCTCTGGCATGGTGTGCAATGCCCTGAATATGTAAAGCCTGGTGTTTCTGGGCTCCAGTGGTCGAAGGGATCCTGTCAGAATTTGAAAGGTTTGTGACAAAAAACCCCAAATCTAACTCTGGAATAAGCTCCAAAAGGAGATGGTTTTTATGTTTCCTCTGCAGATAGCTAAATATTTTAAAGCCTATGGTTAACTTGGTTATCCATCTGCAGTGCATCTGCTGGACTTGGAGATGACATCCAACTGTTACATTACGAAATAAAGTCATTCTGGTGTCATCAGAAGTGTAGCTCTGAATGCAGCTGTCACAGGGCTGGTTTGCGCCACCTGATGGTGAATAATCCCCAGTTTGCAGGATTTGGATCCAGGGGATTGGAATTGCATTTGCTTCAAATCGTTTTTGTGAGGAGGTAATTTTCAGTCACTGGCTCTGGCCTCTTCAGTGCTTTCTGGGCATAGATTTTTGTGTTATATGGTCCCACCTCTAAAGAGTGACCTATCTCCTTCACCTGATATCCCTTAGGCTTTCACCACCTGCAGAACTTCTTGGTAGGATCAGTACGCCCTTTCCCAGGTCTCCATCTTGTGGCCATTCTGGCCTCCACTTCTTATGCGTTCCATATCTTAGACAGTTGAATAAGTAGTCTTCTGTAAAGTCTGCCTTTTTCTTAGAAATTACTTTCACTATGTAAGAAAAACAGTAAATGGTGACATGCTGTTCCATGCCTAAGCCATGAAGATGGTAGACTTCTGGTCCCCTTAGCTGAGTTATAGTTCTCTAGCTCATAGCTTCTCCTTCAGATCTTGCTCAGAGTACAATACTGTGCATCTGGTGCCCTTCAACTTTGATTCCTCATCCTCAATGAGTCTCTTCCTTTTAAGATGGTCCTTTCTTAGGCTATTTTTCCATTCTTATTGTAAAATATGCTCAGAGCGAGTCTCTTTAGGCTTTTACCTTGCCATTGCTTTTTAAATGCTCCTGGTCAAAGTGAAAGCATCATGGAAAATAAGGAGTCATTAATGTAGGTCTGGAAGAGACATGACACCAGTCTTGATAAAACAGATAGCTGCTTCCACATCCACTGAGGCTTTCAATAATACATCAGTTCATAAAATCAGGCAAAATGCCTGTTTTGCAAACAGGCTTTCCAGATTGGTAAAACAAGTTTACTACCAGCTGCTATTGACAGGTAAGAGCAATGCCATTTATACTTTTGCTGTATTTTCCTAAAGCTTATAGGTGTCAAGTATCCTTCCAGTTTAAGGGAGAAGGAACAAATTAAAATCTAATTAGGCAGGTCATTCAAATCCCAAACAAACACAGCACTCCTTATTTCTAGTGGAACAAGATCTTAACTTAATCGGTCTCAGTTCCCATGAGTCCTCTTCCTTAGAGTTGGATTTGTTTTCCTATTGTTCTTCTTATGCTTTGCTGGGTAGAGATTTGCACCTGTCTCCAGAGACGTAGCAGGTAAGTCTAGAGGTGTGAGAAGGGACCAGAATTTCTGATGAGCTGAGCTTCTTGTGGCAAATGCCTACCAGGACAGCAGTTCCTGCCTTCCCTGGCAGCTTCTCAGGGAAGGTTGTGAAAAAGAAATGTTTATTTGCACTTTTGTGTGCAGTGAGGGTTGGTTTAGAGATCAGAGTGTTCGGGTTGATTCTGACCCTCGTGTTTGGGCAGTGAGAAGAGGAGTTTGCTGTTTCCCTCCCCTGTCCTGCGAACAAGCAGTCGGACAGAATTCTGTACCAGAGTTGTGTGGTGGGAGTGCAGTGTGTGGGGGTTTGGGAATAAGCTGCCCCTGTCCGTAGGGTGTAACAGTGATATTATGGAGTATTGCTTGTGCCATGCCACCACTTTGTCTAGCATGAAACAAAGTATTGCTGTTTTATGCTCCCAGTTGAAAAGACAAAAACGTGACCTAGCTGCTTCTTGTAGCCTTTGTTTTTGTATACAAAGAGAACTGGGGGGAAAAAAAAAACCCAGCATAGACCATCACTTTGAGTGGGCAAAGTAATTCAGGTTTAGATGCAGCCTTTCAAGCCTCAGAGCTTCTCAAACCAACCTCTCAGAAGCAGTAGTCTGACCCAGAAAATTTGTGCCCTTCTTTGCCTTCAGAACTTGTCCTTTCTGATACAATAAAGCAAGTCTGGTTTGATCTTGGGCTGTGACCATTAACAACTTATTATATCGAGCTGAGCTGGGAATAATTGGGCAGAGTGCAAGAATCCTGTTTTAGAAGCAGAAGTCAGTAACATTGACTTTATGAAACCACAGGAAACAGCTTTATAGATTCCTGAAATGCATAGCTGAAAAGTTTCTGTGCCTTCCTCGAGCCATTGAGCTCACTGTGCAAGGGCAGTCTGATTTGCCCACAGACTGGTGCAGAACGTGCTGGTGAATTTAAATAGTGACATTAGCTATTTCCCAGTTATTTTCTTATGACTGCAAATAAAAGCACTGGCAGTATTGGGCAACAGAAGTCCAGGTGGCTTTGTTTTCATCCCTTAATTTCTGTTTGAAAGGTGTGCTGTCTAAAGTTATACCTGAGTCGTATTTTGAGACCGTGTGGTGCCTACTCCTGTTTTTAGCCATTTAATGCCAGCAGCTGTGGGTGGTTGGTTGTGGTTGGGAGTGCAGGGTGCTTGGGGAAAGCAAGGCAGCAGTCTGGTGGTGTGCGCGGTGTTTTGCACTGCCTTGCTTTGTAGAACAAACCCCCATGGCAGAGGGAGGCTGGCATGAGCTGCCATGACCCTCGCTTTCTAGGTGCGTGTCTCCTGTTTTCATGTTTACTTTGTCCTCGGTAGGATTCAGTCCCTTGAAACTGATCTGTAACAGGAGGACGCGGTGCCAGCCGCTTTCTGAAAAGCCTGAAACTTTGTTGTGTTGGTGAATACCCACAGCGGCTGGGATCGGCCACGGCCTGAGCCTGGCTCTGCCCCAGCCCCTCTCTGTGGGGCAGCGGCTCCCCCGCACCGAGGGACACCCGTGGGGCTCCCGGCGAAGGGGACAGGCGCTGCGGCGGCGACGCACCCCGCTGCCCC